CAAGCCTTTGCTTAGAGCAACAGCTGCCGTGTACAGCTCCCTTTCCCACCCCACCTCCCTCTCCACCACAAACCAGCCTTGCTCCAAACTCAGAGCAGAGGGTTAATGCCACAGCCGTTGGCCAGCTGAGGAACAGAGGGACAGTAGTCTACATGCCTATGAGATAACACCCAAAGGGGCAGAGGACTGAAGCAGCTAGGAGCTCAGGAGGAATCCACTCATTGCCGCAGGGGGACATTCTTCATCGCCTGGCAGCGGGGACCTCCTTACCCTCCCCTCCTGGCACCAATGCGCCATCTCCTCCACATCCCCTGACAGTCACCGGGTGGTTGACTCAGGTCCCACCACGAGCAAGAGCTGGCCAGAGCCCTGCTTGGCTTAAACACAGAGGGGCCAGTTTGCAGAGATGACTTAGCAGGAGGCGGCCCCCGCATGGCACAGACACAGCCAAACTACGCTCCACAGCGCAGAACAAAATGATTCCCCTGCCAGTGTCCCTTGTGGCAGAGAAGAAAGCTGTTATGACTGTACAGGGGGATCTTTCATGGAGGCTGCTGGGTAGACAGCCCCTCTGGTTCTCTAGCTCCCAACCACACAGTCCATCAGGGCCTCTTTAAATATCCATCTGGCCCAAGAAGTCATGGAATGCTTTGGGATACACAAACCTAGCAGTGAGCTCTTGAGCAGGGGTCATTCTGAGCCATGAAACTCAAGCTTCAAAATGCAACGATTCTAATAGAGAGCAGCGTAGGCTGTGTGTAAAGAACCCTCAACGCTCAGCTGTCCTCCTGAGATGGGGTTCATAGAGTGGGGACAGGAGCTGGACTCTAGTGCCGAATAAAGCACCCTAGTATTGACCCGGGCAATCTGGACACCCTAGGAGAGTCTCACTGGTGAACACCCTCTTGCTGAACCCCACAATTCAACATTTAGGGAGACTGGACTTGGCTGTAGATGCCTCGAGATGTGAATATGGCCTTTGCCGCTAACAATTTGTGGACAAAATTTAGCACACACGGACGTTGTCCCTGCCCAAAAGCACCTTCTGTTGCAATGCAGGGAAGAGCAGGAGACGTAGTGCAGGGAGTGAGACACCCTGGACGTGTACATTCCCGGGCAGCCACGCCGGAATTCAGCAGTACTAGAAGTTGCCCGCAGAGGGCTCCTATATTTTATACGTCAAGGCAGAAGGTCCCAGGGGACAAATTGTATCGGCAAAATAGATTCTGTAGCTTCCTCTCAACTTAAGAGGATGTTTCCGTGTTAATCCTAGGGCTTCCGTACAGCTCTGTCACTGCACTTCCATCCTGACCTGCGGCTCTCTGGGCTACCTGGTCCTGAGACCCCAACCCCACTCTTGCTGCTGCAGCTCAGTCCTGATCTGCTGCTCCCCCTGCTATTCCAGGCCAGATTCTCTCTGGACTGGAAGGATCCAAGAACAGCCTCTCAGTCATTATGCTCTTCTGATCCCAGCAAAAGTCAGAAGCACAGGGGCTGCCGCAAGAAATGAAAAACAATGGGCGGAATAAAGATTCAGAGAAGATTTGGCCCAGAAGTGGCCAGCATGTCTAACTGCGGTCGAACCTGGCCTCATCCCTGCGTCTTGCTGATACCAGAGATGGGCCCAAGCTGTGGGGGACAGAAGGTTCAAGGGTGGGCTGTTTGGAACCAAAGCTTTGGCTCAGCCCAGGACAAAAACGGGCCAGCTGCAGAGCATGGAACTGAACTTGACCAACATGCAAAGGGTCTTGGCTCCTGGGAAGCAAGTTCAAGCTTCCCTCCAAGCTCTAATCTGGAGCTTGCACAGGCATGGGGTACAGGACTCCACAGAGCTGGGCCGAACGTGTACGGTCAGAGGAACCCATCTGACACAACCACCAATGGCCAGGACAAATGAGTCACAGACCACCCATGACTTCCCCTCAGTTTGTGCAGTATCTAGCAGGATGGGGCCCATTGCTGACTGGGACCTCTGGGCGTCACTGCCATATAAACACCACCACCTCTTTGCATTCAGCAGGCGAACCATGGGGTTGCTTTATGGACCACTTAATAAAAGGGGCTGCCTAATGGAGGTGGGTCCTGAACACTGGTTAGCCTGTATCTACTTAAAACTGCTAGATCTAGGCAGTAGCCCCAGTGTGTGTGTGTGTGTGTGTGTGTGTGTGTGTGGTGGGGGGGGGGGGGGGGGGAGTAATGACACTCCATAGGCTGAGTTTAAAAAAAAAAAAAAACCAAAACACTCTGTGCTCCCCCATTATTAATGGTTTATACTGCAGTAGCACCTAAGACCCCAGTCACGAACTAGACCCCATGGTGCTAGGTGCTGTACAAACCCAGAAGAGAGCTCTTTGGGGCAGAGACTTACACTCTAATAGACAGATGGATACTGATCCCCAGCCATGCTGGAGGTCCCATCAGGAATCCATCTCAACCTACATTCAGGAGCCAACATGACACCCCGGGCTGGATTGTCACAGGTGTGAGCACCTGCAGCTCCCATCAACTTCAACTGGCACTGTGGGTGCTCAGCACCTCCTGAATCAGCATCTCAGGCTGGGCTCTCAAGTACTGAGGTTCCCCCAAATCAGCAGCAACTCTTGAAAACGCTGGCTTCACTAAGCTGCCAGTGAGGGGAGTCCATTCCCTTCCCCCAGGGCTGTACTTCTCTGTGCAGAGAGCATTGCCATCTACTAAATCTATCATGCTGGGCTATTTACCCTGGGCCTGCAGGCTCTCTGACCCGCTGGTTGTTTCCCTAGCCAGTCACTGTGGTGACATTATCTGGATGAATCAAGCTGTGCACAGGCTCTCTCATGGAATGCACACATGAGGTTTACTGGGATGCAGAGGAAAATGACATCATTAGTCTACCATGCTGCTGGCTATGCTGTCTTCCCCAGCCCTGAGGACGTGCCTCTTGCATCAGGGCCATCGATCACCTCAAAATCTTCTGTCACAGGCAACAATGATGAACAAAATTTCTCAACCTGTCAAGATCCAAAAGTGAGACAAGAGAAAAAGAGGCCACGTGGGAGGATCACAGGAAAAAGCAGGGAACTCGGCGGGATGCAGCACTCCAGCCTTCACTGTAACCTCGGCGCTGGGCGATGGATGGAAATAAACCCAAGTGAGAGCAACACTGGGGCTGCGTGGGATGGAGGGACATGCAGGTCTGGAAACAAGGGAGAGTCAACAGGCAAAGAGACAGGGTGAATTAGGACAGCTGCCTTTCAGCTCTCTTCCCTGCAAACAGAAATAAGAGCACAGCGCAGCATCTGAGGTGTAACCCCCCACCCCACCATGCATGTGCACACACCGCTTGGCATGGGAAACATTCCTTTGTGATCTGAATTTGGCATTTCCAAACAGGATGTCCCCATCCCTCCTCCCCCCGTTACATCTTGTGTTGTCTTCCCTTCTCCCCACCACACCTTCCCGTTCCCAGGCACAGCTGTGAAATATGCTAATCCAGCACTTACACCACAACATGAAGGAGCTAAGAATAACAAGTTCTCAAAGCGAAGAAAAAACGCCTGAGTTTGGAGTCTTGCCCTTGCTAATGCAGCTGCCATCTGCGCCGATCCCCTCTGCGTACCGTAGGCAATGGCCAAGCCTATTCAGCCAGCCCAGTCCCTACCGCTTTAGCATTAGCTCCTCTCCTAGGAATCCTTGTCCAACACACTTCATTGGTGTTAAAAAGGCACTTTCCTTGTCTTTTCCTCCCTTTTCTCTGCTAGGGCCACCAGCTACCCAGCATGCATTGAAGTGATCCTACCTCCTGCAAGCCTAGATTGCAGGGTCCTCAAAAGCGTTTGGGGCTAGGGAAATAAAAATAAATTATGGAGTGCAACGCTCCAGTAAACACAAGCCTGGCCTGTGAGGCTGACTAGAATCATCATCAGCCCCCCAGCATTACTTTCTAACACTGCAAGGACCAACCACATTTCTATTGGAAAGTGTTCTGGGGGGAAGGGGGGAGCCTCAGGCAGCAACTTGGTCAGCATGGCTCCCCACTCAAGGGTTACTTGGTTTTACATGTAGACCGTATGAGGCCCTTTTAAGAGCCTGGAGAATTGGCGAGTGGGTGTGTCCAAATTAGAAGCATCCCCTGGAAGTGTCTGCCTCTGGGGAACAGTTGGTTACATACACAGCTGTTCAGGACACTAGTGTGTGAGCTTTGCAAGGACATGTGACCAGTTCAGCTAGAGTCACAGCTGTCTGGCTGGTAGCTGGACTTGCCTGCTGAGTTCCTAACCTACCTTTTAAACTCTCCTTCACCACGATCCCAAGCTGCCCCAGCGTTATCCCGCTGCTAGCGCCATCAATTATTGAACGGCAGAAACGGTGGCGCAAAGCTCACGGGCACCAGGCCAGCTGCGGAAAGGAATCCCACAGCTTTTAACGCTTCCTGAACTACTCAACCCTTCGTCCAGTCCCTCAGGTTTGGAGTCTGCATCCCACTTTGGGGACCTGGCAAAAAGAAGGGGGCAGGAAGCTGCAGGGAGAATGTGAATGGATAGTCTTGTGATTAAGGCTGGAACTCTTGAAATCTGGGCTCTACTCCCAAGTCAGTCATTTGATCTCTGTGCCTCAGTCCCCTCCAGCTGCAAAATGGGGATACTACTACTTCTTTGGGCTGCAGTGTCTAGTTAGACTGTAAACTCTTTGGGGCAGGGACTGTCTCTCACTTGGTGTACGGCCAGCACCCAACACAATGGGGCCCCGATCTCGGATTGGACCACTTAGGTACTTACCATAATCTGATGGATGCTCACAACTACTGAGCCATGCAACTACATGGGGAGCATAGGCCTGTGGCCTCCAATTTGCAGGCTTAGGCCTAACAAGACTGCAAATTCTAACCCATCACTGACCAATAACAGGCAAGATCAGGAACAGTTCCCCTCTGGTCCTCCAGAGCACACGGGAGCTTGGGAGAAACCGCTCCTGTTTCAGTCCCTCTCTGCTAACCTGCCTGGGCCAGCCCAGCCCCTTACCTTCTACCGGCGACGTCTTCAGCCTCTTGCAGATGTTCTGCACACCCCCGTATGTGTCATTTATCCTTGCGACAGCCTCGCCGCTCCGAAGCTCCATGAGGGTCCGCAGATCGACCAGAGAGCAGCCGAAATCCCCTTCATGGCTGCCCTCGGTGACCGAATTCCCAGGATGGTGGTCAGCAGCGTTGTTCGTCATGTTGCCAAATCAGCGCGAGTTGCAACAGACGCGAGCGGAAAAACGCTGGTTCCTATTTGTTCACCTCCCTCCCCTGAATGTCCCGCAGGGGACACAGACGGTCCTTGGCAGCTCCCAGCAGCTGCCTTAGCTCCACGGCCCCGGAGAGGACTGGATGGTGGGGCCTTGGCAGAAAGGAGAATCCTAGCGGAGGTGCCAGAAGTGGGGAAGCGGATGCTTCCTTCTACAGCTTCCCAGGTGAAGCTGGCGTGACTAGCTGAGCCCAACTTCTCCAGATAAAGGTGTAAACAGGATGTGCATGTTACCGTGGAAGCGACCTTAGCAACAACCAGTGTGTATCTCTTGGAGAAGGAGGAGGGTTCCCTGGATACCAGCGGCAACAGGAGCTGCAAGACAGATTTAAAACAAAAATACCATCATTAGCAAGAGAGCCGAGCCGCACGTGCCATGGAACGGGGGACCGAGAGCCACGGTGCTAGGGACGCACCTATGCAAGAAATATTGGGAGGCAGCAAGGTCTAGGAATAAGCAATGGAGCCAGGAACCCCCAGGTTCTAATCCCACCTCTACCCTGTTTTAGAGCAGGATCTTAAAGGGACATGCCCAGTTTAGCATGTCCTTTTTAGTACAGTCCTTTTCAAGCTGGACTGTTAGCTAGCAGAAATGGGTCTATTATTTGTATTACTGGGAAGCATAGGAGCCTTTCATGGTCCACGACCCCATGGCGCTAGGTGCTGTACAAATACAGAACAAGACAGTCTTCACTCCCAGGAGCTTAAAAATCTAAGCTCCGCTGACCTCAACAAAACTATGCTCCTAAATACTAGCTGAGGATCTGGTCCTTCATCTCTCGATCTCAAAGCGTTTCAAAGTGCATCAGCATCACTGGCCAAACTACCCAGCAGGGAAGATTGAGGGCCCCCAGGATAAGTGACTTGCCAGTTGAGTCAGGGGCAGGAAGAGGACCCAGGTGACGCTCTGCTCCATCCACAGCTGTCTGGCCCAAAGCAGAGAGGAAGAGAAATATTTCCATTCATTGGTTTTAAAAACAAAGACTTCCAGTGGAAAACAGCTGTCTCTTACACACCCCTCTGCAATGCCAGGGACACCCTGAGAATCTGGCTGTGAAATGGACTATACATAAAACGTGAAAATGACTCCACTGATTTCTCCTGTCTGGAAGGGAGACGCAGCTAAAGACGTAAACAAACATAAATGTGGACAAATAAATTGGAGCGTAAAAGGCCTTTTGTTTTTAAGTTATTGAGTGGATAGTCAGTTAACATGGGTAAAACAACCCCAAACATTTAAATACAGACAGATTTTTAGACTTCATCCCTTTGGCTTCTTTGCCCGACTTTCCCCATCTGTACAAGGATTACTAGCTCTATTACCATTACCTAGAATGGGGCAATGAGGAGGCGAGAAATACTATGACTTATTCAGCAATGAAGCCCCACGTGCAGATGACAGCCGAGTTAGAGTCAGCACCAGCTGTATCCTGCATGGAAGGGAGAATTCCAGAGCAAGTCTCAGTGGGAAGCAGGAAGGGGGAGGGAGCCTGAAATATTAAAACTGGGGAGGATTCAAGAGCCCATTCCAGATGGGCAGAGACATCCACTTCAGTTTCTTCTCCTCCTCATTCAGGAGGAGGAAGTCCTCCTTCCCCCTGGCTCTAGTATTGGTCAGCTAAACGCCACTCACCTGCAACAGTTCTAGGGAAATGCTGGGATGGAACATCATACACCAATTGGATTCCAAACATTTGGGGGCCCCATGCTTTCCCTGCAGTCTCCAAGAGCAGAAGCAGCTGGCAAGGAAGGGGTCAGGGGATTGAACGCTTGAGGGCGTCCCCCTCCCCAGATTGCTAGAGGGGGCTTTCTCCACCCACAGTCCAAGAGCACCTGTGCCTTCTTTAGTGCTTGGACTCAGGACTGCAGTCTGCTCAATTTCACTGACCCTGAAAATGCATGCACAGCACGGGCTTATCTCAACTGCCATTTGGGATTTCTTCAGGGTTGCACCTGTCCTGAAGCGGGACTGGGGAGACCAGGAAGCTCACAGCAGCCTACCTACCAAAGTCCTTTGACGCACCCGATTTCTTAAACTGTAAGCTCTGAGGGGCAGGGGCAGAGGCTCTTCCTAGGCATTTGTATGGGGCCTTTGGGCATGAATGCAACGCAATTAGATAACACTCTACCTAAGGGGGGGGGCGCGCACTAGAAGCACAAGGATGTAGATGGGCAAATTGGGAAGGAGGGATTAGGGTAGGGTATACTGCTAGGCACTGTCCACTGTTGGAATTGTTCACCCTATCCCCTTCCCTTCTCTCTGAACGCAACATGGAAAGTCTCAGTCTCTCTGATGCACCAACTCCCTCCATAAGCAATAGGATGGCAGAGATCCCATGGAACCAACCCCCTGAGGCAAAGACGCACATGATCCAAGCTGCATTCTCAGAAAAACCATCCCACTAGGCCAGGGAGTGGGGTGTTGTCATGACTCCACCCATCCCCCAGCATAATTCAGCTACTTGCAGGGAAGACAGGGACAGACTGGGCTGTGGAGATTAGCGATAAGGAAACAGGATAAGAGAAGACTCTGGGCTGGTGGCTAAAGTTATGGAATCAGCATGCAATAGAGCAGGAGAGAGAGACTGATCTGGAGAGAAACGCTCTCCTCACTTGGGGCAGAGAACCTGACAGATGCTGTCTGTGTGCCCGCAAATTTAGCCTCTGAAGGGAATTTTAAGAGTTGCTACAGATGTCGGGTATGACAAGGGCAGAAGTGTCTTCAAGAGATGCCTTTGTGAGAACAGGGTCACCCTGGGGCATTCCCAGAAACACAGGCAGCATCATGTTAGTGCAGGAGAACCAGGGACAGAGACAGACAGGGAAGCCAGCCAGCAAAGTTAGTGTCACAAACACCCAGGCTGAGCAAGACACCCAGAGCAGACCCAAGCAGCACATGGGGAAAGTGGGGAGCTGTAGCTACTGTATGCCAGGAAACCCCTGCTCCTTTCACTGCTACCACACCTCCTCCTGTTTGTTCATCCTCTTTTTGAATCTTTTTATAAGCCAAGGTCCCAATCCCGCACACTGTCCAATGCGGGTGGATCTCAGCGCCCGTGGGGGTCCAGCCAAGCAGAACAGCCTGCGGAATCTAGGCTTTTGACTGTAGATTCTTTGAGGCAGGGATGGGCTTGGTGATCCCTGCCTGAACAGTACCCAGAACAGGGCTCTGATCCCTGACCGGGGACTCTAGGTGCTACCATGAATCATGGACCACAGCCCCACTGTGCTGGGCCCTGGACACACATGGATGACCAACAAATTGCTTGTTTAGGGGAAGGAACTCTAATAGGCCATTACTACTTTTCAGGGTCCCCCTTAAAAAAGTAGGCTGACCTCAGGGATATAGAGTCTGCCTCCTCCCAGCCTTAAAACAAGAGACCCCTTAAGGAAGCCTTTGGGGGGAGGATAGCTCAGTGGTTTGAGCACTGGCCTGCTAAACCCAGGGTTGAGAGTTCAGTCCTTGAAGGGGCCACTTAGGGATCTGGGGCAAAAATCAGTACTTGGTCCTGCTAGTGAAGGCAGGGGGCTGGACTCAATGACCTTTCAAGGTCCCTTTCAGTTCTATGAGATAGGTATATCTCCATATATTATTATTAACCCCTGCAGTAGGTCATTGGTATGGGACGAGGGGGGCAACTCTAGGTCATGGCTTGGTGCTATAGAAGAAAGCGCATCTGTCCATCCATCTAGTTGCTTTGCCATCCCCCACCCCACAGGCATGCAGGAGCCTCTCTAGTGGAGTCGTTACTCATCTATCATTTAAGGGCGTTAAAGCTCCCTGCGGGAGGAGGTACGCGATGGCAGATCCAATTAAACAGACCCCTGCTGATTAATAGCGTGTTGGGGTAGGGGGGATTATTTTTCCTATTTTTTTCCCTTTCATAGCTCTTTTCAGAAGATGTTATTTGCTAAGAGGTTAAGGGAAAGGCAGCTAATTAATCCTGGAATTGCAGAATTCATAATTACCCCTGGAGGAGCCTGCAGAGCACCTATCATTATCTCCCCAGATTCCCTTCCTCCTCCAAACTGGAGTGCCAGGGATTCCTCTCGGCAGGCGGGGGGAGAGGAGGAGAAGAGGAAAAAAAAAACAGACTCCCGGGGGAGGAAAGAGTCCACTTACACTCCCATGGCTCTACTCTGCATTGCTGCCCAGTGGAATGGAACCGTGGTCCTAGAGGGTAGGGCACCGAACTGGGAGTCAGGAGACCTGGCTCCGCCACAGACCTGCTGGGTGACCTTTGGCAAGTCCTGTTTCCCCCCCCCCCCCCAAAATCTTGTCAGCTCTACTTTGACTGCAAGCTCTCCAGGACAGGGACAAGGTGCAGGTACCGTGCCTGCAACACTGGGGCCCTGAGCTCAGCCGGGACTCTTCGCTGGGAAGGACAGACCCGGGGCATGCCCAGGAAATACGCTCCCACTGTGCATCCGGGTGTAGCCGGGATGGATCAAAAGCATTTTCAGTCTCCTTTAAGGACCGCCACCCCCTCATCTGGGAGTCCAGGTGCAAGCTCAGCCTGGGCACGCTTTGACCCATGAGGTCTACAACTTCACACCTCCCCGGTGACACTCTTACATATGCCAGGTTCACCCTAATGGGGGGAGTGGGAAGAACCCCACAGTAGGTTTGCCCCAACCATGCAGACAGCAAACCAGGGGACACTAAGGTAATACCCACCTAGCCATGTCATTCCAGGCAACTTACATGTCAAAGGCCCAATCCAGCCAGTCCCCTCTCGGGTGTTAAATATTAAAGCTGGAAAACTACTAAATGTACATGCTCAGGGTGCTCTGTGGAGCCAGACAAATGGCCCCAGAGCCCCTGCCAGGGACAGAAAGAACCCCATGGGGTGGGGTGACCCTCCTGAATCTCCTTCCAGCCCCACCGTGGTCAAGGAGAGAAGGAGGAAAGCCCGAGTAAAGCTCCAACAGCAGCGCTCTAACAAGCCTCTAATGACTCCGGCATTATTCAGCCGACCGTCCCTAACTCTCCTAATTAGTTTCCAGAGCCTCTAGGCACCGAGGGGGAAGCTGTTCTTTCCTAGGGTCCCTTCCTCGGAAGGGAGAGTGAGGTGGAGAGCGACAATGGGAGGGAAAGGCAGTGGGGAAGACCAGAAGGCGGCAACAGCCCGAACACTCAGCTGCTGGCAGCCAAGTGCAGAGACGCCATTGCACAAGGCTACATCCTTCCACCTAGTACAGGTCATGTGAAGCAGGGGGTGGACAAGAGGGGCACGGATTCTGTTCCCCAACTGACCCTTCAATAGCCCAAAGGAAGTGGAGAAAGTCCCCAACAGGTGAGTCTTCTTAATTGG